AGCGTGGGTGCCTGGACTTTGAGCCGCAGATGGAATTAATCGCTATTAGTGCTAATCTCAGGGCCCGGGGCGGGGCAGGGGGCGGGGGTGTCCCCAACCTGCCTCCACCTGGAGGAGGCGGCGAAGCAGCGAAGGCGCCGGCGCACTTTCCCCAACGGCCGGCCCTGCCTTTGCCGGAGGCGCTGAGGCTCGCACAGAAGCCGCAGGCGGTTTTACGACCTGTCCCCAGTGGCACAAAGGCCTTATCAGCCAGAGGCGCTGGGAAAGCCGCGGTTCCTGCTCGGCGGCGGGGCCTCGCGGTTTCCAGGGACAAAGGCCAGGCCTGGGTGGGACTGCGCCGGGCCTGGGCTCGTGGCGGGCAGGGCGGTGCAATTCGCGCGGGTCGCCGCACTGAGCCGCCCCGGCCCCGGGGGGCCTGTAATGCATTCCCGCCGCCCCTTTAAGATTCCTGAGCCGGGTTATCGCCTTCGCGTCGTTGGGTGCCGCTTCCCCATGTCACACTCCGGCGCCAGGGCCAAGTTAGCTGTGGGGGAGGCTGAGCTGGAAGCGTTTTCACGAGCGGGGAGAGAGAAGGCCGACCCTCACGGCGAGAGGACCAGCGTGGTCAGATGGCCTTTCATGCCCCGCTCGGCCGCAGGAAAATCCACTGCGTTCCTGCCGGTGACAGCCTCTGAGTACCTGCGCCTTTTCCCCACAGCTGCTGCCCTGCCCTGTGCAAAGCCCGTCTCAGGCCTGGGGTGCGCGCCAAGCGAGGCCGAGGCCGAGGCCGAGGCCGAGGCCGGCATATTTGGAATCCCTCGCTGGATTCCGGACCCGAGGGCGGGGAGAGCTGCTGAAACAGCTGAGTTTACCAGCGCCAATAAATGTCTGCTCTAAACGGCTTTTAAAATCACTCTGCCAAACAGACGCGGCCTGCAGCTAAGTTCTCGCTTCGGCCTTTCGGGTTCTCTTTGTAAGGACAAGGACTTCATGGAGCATGGCCGAACGACACCCAGAACGGGTCCCCGGAATTATAGCCATTAGCGCGGCCCTGCCCGTTCCCTCCCCCTTTCTCATCCCGCAGCCCCCACGAGGCGCCCTGCTAGGCACACGGAGCACAGGGACAAAAAGGGGGGCGGGGAGATGGCAGAGAAATTGCCGGAGAAGCGCGAGATTTCAGCGCAGGCCCCGTGTGCTTCCACCGGCCTTTTACGGAAGTGAACACCCTTTTCCGCCAACGACATTCTTTAAGACAAAGAACTATTTCCAATTTATAACGGTTGTTAGTTTTGGATACTTTCTGCTTAGACTTTAAGTTTGTTTGTTTGTTTTTTTTAATACCGAATTGATTCACAAGGATAAATACTGTTTTCTAATGCGAACACTTACATTCTACAATTTTAATTTCTACCTAACCTTAGAATTTTAAAATGTAAATGTTTGAAAACCTGTCCCTGAATTGCCCGGGGCAGAAATGACCGGATGCAGCCCGGGCAGGCTGGCCGGTGCTGGCGCAGGCTTCAGGAGCCCACGGCTCTCTCCTCCGGGGAACAGACCGCTTCCTCTAAATGGCAAAAGGGATCGCGTGAACTGGATGACTTTTCTCCCCCGTTTTGACCAGTTTGAGACATTCTAAGTGAGATCTCTTTAACTGTGCTCAGCCTTTAAGAAAAGAAAACCACCCCTCTCCATCCTGGATTTTGAAATCTAGTGCTGCTTGAGCTCGTGGAGCCTTTGGTGAGCGGCGCGCAGGCCTTTTCGCAGCCGGGGGAATCTGAATCCCTTCGCAGAAATTGCTAAAGCAATTCACGCAGCGGCCCAGTCCGCCTCGCCTTCTGACGGAGGACGTGGGTCTGAGGGTTATGCCTGGGCATCTTTCATCTGTCGGGGACCCCAAAGGGGGTAGGCGGGTGCCAGCACGGCCACATTGCTTCAAGTTATCCTCACGATTTGCTGTCCCCAAACTGCAGGCTCTCTCGTCCTGGGAGACCGGGTACCGGGGCCCTGCGGCTGGCTAAGGAGTCGAGCATTTTGAGTTTCAGAAACGGCCCAGGTGATGCTCCAAGGTCTAATGGGGGCCCTGGGGGCTGCGGTGCGTCCTGCAGAGGTCTCTCTCTCTCTCTCTCTCTCTCTCTTTGCCCTCGTCTAAGCCTGCACCGTGGGAGCCTTCCTCTGGCCTGCTCTGCTGGGCCTGGCAAGGGGGCAGCAATTCTGGGGCCGGCCCCATCTGCAGGCTCCAGGGGTGTGCAGAAGTTCTTTCCTCTGGCTGGGAGAGGAGAAGGCTTGTTATCTGGGATTTGCCAGGCGTGGCTGCAGCGTCTCGTGCCTAAATCTTTATGTTTTGCTGCTGTGTATTCTGACACCTCTCCAGCAGCTCAAACATTTAAAAAAAAAAATATTCATACACGTATCGCTGTCTTCGTTGTACAGTTTGGAACTGGATATTATGCTCTCTGTATAAATTATTGGTCACGGTCAAACTGTCTTCAGCCTTTTTAAATGGCTTCCTCCAATAAAGTGTTCCATTTGATTAAGGAGGAAAAGATTATAAATTCTGACAACAGATTACAGCCGGTATTGTGACAGTACAGTTGAATTTATATCTTGTTCTTTGCCAAAAAGAGAGTCAGTTTTCTTTGAAGAAGGCACTGTAAAATTTGACAGCTTTCTGACTCAGAACAAATTGGATGTATTTTTTAAGTCTTTTGTAAACCGGTTAAGAAACGCTAACACGAATCCCCTGCCCGGCTCGTTTTCAAAGAGAAAATCAAACCTAATTGTTTGGAAGCTACCATTTAAAGCGGCCGATTCATCTACGATTTTTAATTATAAACCCGTGGGGGACGAAGCGAGGGGAGCCGGGGCCTGCGCCGGCGCGAGGAAAAAAATGCCCGCCGTGTAGTCGCCCGCAGGCCGCGGGTCCAGGTCGGGGCGGCGGGAACGAAAGCAAATGGAAAACGCCCTCTGCCAAGGGCGGCTGGCCCCGCAGCACCCGGTTCTCATTAAGAGCCGGCGCTGGCTCACGCGCACGGTGCCCCGCGCTTATCGGCCGGCTCATCTGCAGGCGAAATGCCTTTGTTTGCCACACGGGGAAGGAGAATAGCCTCCGTCTGCTTCCAGTTTGGGGAGACAGGCCCCTCACTCAGACCCTGGAATGTGCCGGGGCTGTGGGTACCTCATGCCCGGCCAGCCCTGTGAGGGGCAGCGCGGGCCTCTCCGGGGGGGTCGGAGCCCCGAGCCATGCTCCCCAGCCCGCGTGCGACCCCGGCACCGTGTCCGAGCGTCCTCGGCACTGGCCACGTGACATCTCGCCGCGCGGGAACCAGGAGCCCCTTCCTCCGCGGCGGGCTGCTCCCTTCCAAGCCGTTCCCATCTCCTTCCTTCATGCTGAACGAACAGACGGCGTCTGTGTCTCCGGAAACATTTCACACACTTGCTCATCATGGCAGGACAAAGGACCACCCAGGGGTGATCCGAGCGGCTGCGTTTTCCGAAGGAGTAGGGGTTGGAGGACGGAGGGTGTGAGGGAGGCAAGGTGGCGGGGACCGGGGTGCCCGTGGGTTCATGCTGACCTGCAAAGGGGCGCCGGAGCTCCCCAGTCCCAGGCTGTGACCCGACCACCCCCCGCAGCCCCAGAGGCAGACGCGGCCCGCGGTGCGTGCTCTGTTCCTAGCAGGCGCCCCGAGCTCATGCTGCCCCCGACGTCTGTGGGCCCTGGGCGGGCAGCAATCCCAGGTGATGGGCTGGTCCAGGGCAAAACCCGTGGCCTCCGCTGGCCTCGGCTCCCCAACCCAGAGACACAGGGAGGAGCAGGGCAAAGTGACAGGCCTCGTCCCTCCCTGACATCCCTTGGGACACGGACTTCTCAGAGCCAAAGGGACCAAGAGGGGGGTCTCGTGGCAAAGACGAGAGCCTGGAGGAGGGGCTGGGAGCCCTGCCCTGCAGCCCCATGACCACGGGGACCGCGCATCCGGCAGAAGACGGCCCAGCTCCCGCAGACCCCGCAGACCCGAGACCGGCACTGCCTGGGAAGGAGGGGTGTCGGCCTCCGTGCCTGCACCTCCGTGTCCCCATGCTGGAGGCGAGTGGTTCTCTGGGGAGCCTCTGGGCACGTGCTGAGTTCTTTCGAGCCTCGGGGTTCACTCTGCCTCACGTCTACCTCCCCGGCCTGAATGCCCACGCGGGAGCACAGCGCTGTACCCGGGTGGAGGGCTCGGGCGTGCGGGCGCAGGCTGGGGGTTGCGGACACGGGGGCCGCAGGCTGAGCAGGCTGGGGGGAGAGCAAGGCCAGCCGGACAGGCAGTTGTGCCTGTGGGCTCCATGCTGCTCTGCGTCCGGGCTCCCAAGCACCCACAGGTGGGCGGGGAGCCGCTAGCTGCTCAGAGCCGGTCTGGACGCAGGACACCCAGCCGCCGGCAAGGGCAGTGAGGGCTGAGGGGACCCGGACACCCAGTCAGGACCAGGAAACACAAACACTTCCCTCTGAGGCCGAGTGGCCAGCCCACCAAGAGAGTGTAAGTGAGTTTTTTGGAGACTTTAAAAAAAAAAAAAAACATTTGGAATCCATTGCGCCCTTCCAAAAGTGACCTCGTCCCACCAGCCGACAGCGAGGGCCTGTGTACCTGAGTGGTTTCTCGTTTTCTTATTAGAGCTCGAAATGACCAGTATTGTCGTTCACCTTCACCCCCGGCTCCGTGGCCCCTGCTGTCCTGGGCATCGGAGGCCACCGCCACCAAGTCGATTCAGTTCGGAGGTGCGCCTCAGTGGGCCTGTGGTGGGGACACCGGGAAGCACGGAGGTGCGGGGAGGCGCCCCTGGGCCGAGGGCGCCCCTCTCCCCTGGATGGCTGAGGGGCTCCACGAGCTCTGGCTGCAGGAATTTCCCTCGGGCCATTTCAGGGCTGCATTTGCGTAAAGTGCACACCCCTGTCCCCTCTGAGCTCGTGAGCTGAACCGGGACGAATCCCGGAGCCTGTGTTGGGGAGAAACCTCCAGCCGGCGTTTCCGGGAGGCGTCCCAAGGTCGTGACATCGCGCCGGGTTTCTGGAGTCGAGCTGGGATGCCTCTGACTCCGGGACGGGCTTCCCGGCGGGCGAGCCGTGGGGAGAATGTGGGGTTGAATTAAAGGGAATCGCAGGAGCCAAGGCTCTCATTCCGGTCGGCAGGAAGCGTTTCTGCCCCTGGTCCTGACGGCGGAAAGAATTCGGGCAAAGCAGCCGGGGCCGTTTGCACCCGACGCGGAGCTGCAATCAAAGCTCCCCCAAAATAGTAATAATAAAACAAAGCTGTTCCGAAGACAGGCCTTTTCTCCGAGAAGCGGCTACATCTGTTTGCTTTTTCCAAAGCTCGCCGCATCAAGACAGCGCCGCCCCCCTTCAGTTAGGTCCCGGTTCCAGCACACGTTTCCGTCATAAACAGGCAGTCTGGACCCCTCCTCGCTCTCTTCTGCATGTCACGAAGGCGCAGTCTGGGCCCCGGGCCCCGCACCGTGCCCGCCAGGACGCGGGGCGCACGCTCGCCGCAGACAGGGCGGCGGAAGCCCGCCTTCCCGCACGCCTCGTCTGATCCCCTCCACTCGATTTCACTGTCGTCGGGAAGACGGAAGAGTTTTTCCCTTTTTTAAGTTCCGTTCCAATTTTTATGATTGTTCTTTTGCTTTATATCTGCAGTATTTGTTTGTAATCAGGAGAAAAGCCATTTTCAAACTGTGGGGTTCTAGCCGACGGCCGTAGACGCCCCTGCAGTGGAGACGGGGTCGAGCCTCAGCGTCCGGCGCCAGCCCGTGCTCCTCGGGGACCGAGCAGGTCCGGCTGGTGCTCACTGTGTTTCTTAATGCAAAACTGTTTCTCCGCGTCGTCAAGCGCCTCGACTCCGTCAACGGCTCGCACAGGCGGCGCGAGAATGTGCCCTTTGTTATGTGGTCTCCGCGAACGTGTTTTGAAGGCGATGGAATCCTTTTTGTAAATGAAATCTCATGCGTAACCCCAAGACACTGCAGGCGAGAGCGGGCTGCTCTGACGGAAGGCGCTGCCCCCCCGCCCCCCGCTCCCCACCCCCGGTCGCCCGGGAGCCCAGCGCTCTTGGAACGCGGCGAAAATGTGGCCCGCGGGGCCTGGCTCCAGAGTGCAGCTGGAGGCTCCAGTGCCACTTGCAAAGTTGTAATTAAAGCCACCAGCACCGGGGACACGCTGCCTCCCTGGTCCGAGCAGACCCCACGCGCACGTCCCATCGTGGCCGGCTCGGGGACCTGGACGCCCGCCACACGCAGCCGGAGCCAGGGGTGCCCACCCTGGGGCGGACGCGTGGCAAGCCTGTCCCTCGCGGGCTGGCCGGGCTGCCCCGGCATTTCTCAGGGCCCTGGCTGCTGGGAACGCGCCTCGGCCCCGACCGTCGGAGTGGCCCTTCCGCAGCCCTGGCTGAGCGGCGCCGTTTGGACGCGAGTCCCAAGCGGCCGGCTGTGTCCACCGCTCCTGCGCGCCTCCCTCCCGGGCCTGCGGCTTTGGAGCCCGTCTGCTCCGCTGTGTCCTTCACACAGACCACCGGCTTTTGGCTCTCGAGCCCGGCCAGGCTTGGGGAGGCCACTGACCGAGGCTCCGACGGAGCCCCCACGGGGTGTCGCAAGCTCCCGGAAACCCAATGCTGTCCCAGTGCCGAAGAGCCACCTCCACTGCAGGACAGGCTGACCCTTCGCCTCGGCACCCCCACTCCCCCCATGCCCGGTGCCGACTCAGAGAGCAGAGGTGCCCCCCGTGCAAGCCGCAGGCCTACCTGCTCGCTGATCTGACACATGGTGAGGTTCTGGTCGTCACAGGAGCATGCCACGCGGATGTACTTGAGCCAGCTGCCGGCCCCGGCCTGATTCGTGTCCACACAGAACTTCTCGCTGCCCAGCTCTTCAGAGACCTGCCCCGGAAGAAGGAACATCGGGACGGGTCAGAGGCATCCTCCTTGCAAGAACCCGGCTGTCTGGGCTCGGAGTGGCAGGCAGCCCGGCACCTAGGCGTCAGCAGACCCTCTGAGGGTCATCGGCAAGGTGCCTGGCCCACCCGGCCCACCCGCCCTGGAGCCTCGGGGAGTTCAGTGGAGGGGGAGGGGGCCCTTTCCTTCCTCACCGGGCAGATCACTGGCCCAGAGCGAGAGGTGCCACCAGCATTGCAAACGCTCCCCAGCAAAGCTGTCCCACGTGTGAGAAAGCAGAGGCCACTGTGTCTCAGAACGAGCCCTCTGCTGAGGGGAGTTGGGGTGCAGGAATGGAGAAAACCGTCCTTGAAGGTAAAGGTGTTGGGCGTGTGGCTGCCCACGAGCCTGGGCGTGAGCGTGAGCGTGTGTGTGTGTGTGTGTGTGTGAGCGTGTGTGTGCGTGTGTGTGTGTGTGTGTGTGTGCGTGCTCACACCGGCGTGCACATCACCCTGATTTTTACGTTCTCAAACTGTGAACTGTGATTTTGTAGTAGGAAACGTCGTTAAAGTAAATCAGTTTTCAATCCCTGGTTTCATGCTGATTTAAGATAATAACAGCCAAAAAGGTGGAAATCCACATAAATTATTCTCAATGAAAACACTTCCATAAAGGTCAGCTATCAATAGTAAGTTATCCACATTCCATACATACTTTCTATATTTCTAGTTATCATGTTAAACTTCATATCATCCAGCATTACATTATAAAAATGGAAATAATTTATCTGAAAATATCCATCATATGCAGAACCTTTTTTTTTTTTTTC